CAGCGTGGCGGGTTCAGCCGCCCGAAACGGTAAATAATACCCTCTTCGCTCGGTTAAGTGAACATAAACGCTCGTTTCCACCCCATATAGAATCGTTTGTTTTACGAAACATAAATTTCACAAATACACGTAAGCGCAAGCTCGACCTAAGTATGCACAAACTCTTTGCCAAATTCGTTGAAATCTTATTACATAATATACCTAAGTACTTCATCTACATTTTGGGGTCCATTTAAAATTTGTAGGTCGATCTACGAAACAAATAGTTATAAAATTACTGACGTATGCATAGCTTTGATTGAATACAGGTTACCAAATATACAAAACATAAACCAAAAAAAAATCCTAAAAGACAGACCACGAGCTGGTACCTACCTAACAGCTTCTGAAGAGATATTTCTAATCACGAATCATGCAAACTTTATTACAAGAAACATATCCGATACTTAAAACGCATACATAATAAATAATTTATAGGTCATTTATTAAAAAATAAATATAAACGACTTTAAATGTGCCACAAAAAGCCCAAAGCATACGGTTGATCAATTGTAACCGCTAACAAACGGGTGAAAATAGCTCCACAGAAGTGTCGGGGTGTTCAATAATGACAACAGAATGATATTTATTTAGGTGCACATATGTGGAAATAATTTCCATTATTTGAATAGCGGGGGCGCCGCGGTCGGAGACGGGGCTGCGCGATATTGCGACGCGGGGCTAATCCTTTAAATATATTATTGCAGGACGGACGCCCGCGCCCTCCTGCCTCCTGCCCGGGATCTCCGGCCTCCTGCCTCGGATCTCCTGCCGCTTGTCGTACGCTGAGGGACGCTGACAATTTTTAATGTTGCAAGATCGATACTAATGTTTGTCGAATATTGTTTTCATTTCATTTGCAACATGCATGAGATGGAGATTTAAATCCAATTTTGTATTATAATTTCAGGAATAAATATTAAATAGTAACTTAAAAAAAAAAACAACTTCAATTGTTTTTTTAATGTTCAAAAATTATAAAAGAGAAACAAAACCTGATGTTACTCAATTATTTCTTGCACCCATTGCCGCTCTATTCATCATTGAATATTATTTACAAACACAAACTTCGAAACATAAGTAAATGGTAAACTAAGAAATTCGAATGTTAATTTTGGTTAATACTAGAAACAATAACAAACTATGCAACGTAACCCTAAAGGATTCGTTCGTCCATTATCATACAAAAGCGTTTTGTCACTTTGTCCACATAATATTCTGTGTAATGAACGCGGTAGCCGCCCTACGCGAATAATAAAGCTATTTTACGGTCAGCGGGACCGCAGGCCCGATAAATTGCCTTAAATTTAAATTAAACTAGAATCACAGTTTTATTAGAGTCATCAATCAAACGTTACGAAACGGTCTTAGTTTGGGCAAAGCATAATAGCCTTAGTTTCGCGGCGGCGTGAGCTTAAAGCTCGGTAATTTGATTTATTCCCAACTACCCGATAGATGCACGTGGTGTGATGAAACGGTTTCTGGATCATCAGCTACGAAACGTCAACATCGGCACGTAGTTTAAATAATATAGTTATTTATGAACCTTTCACATAATTACAAATTCTTTTATAGATATGTTTAATTAGTGTGGAATATTAAAAAAAATAGCGTATGTTACTCCCACATATATATACTATAATTTCCATTAAAAGGTCTGTCAAAATTGGAATGTACTTACTCGTAATATGCGTAATCTAAATGACTTTGGGCATAAAACAAGTAGTAGTTACAAAAAGTTTAGTAAATATTTGGTTTATTATTTTAAAAATAACTATTAAGAGTTCAGAAAATGAAATATTATTTCACTCAAATAAATGGTATTAAAAGTGTATAAATAATTTATGTTTTGGCACTGCTTAGATTAAGGTCGTAAAAATAAGATATCAACGTGGTAGTGACTAGGTCCATTGGGGTGGATTTATTAAATGCACCCCGCGGCGACGGCGCAGGGATGCTACACTAAGATGTACCAACATTTTGGTCAAACTCGCCTGTCCATGAAAACAGTGGGTGTGTTAAAATATTATTAAGTATACAGTTACTTATATTAATGTCTAACTAAAGATCGTAATTTGTTTAAATAATTTTAATTCTTTGGAACATAAGTTAACAAAAATAATAAAAACATTAGCACGAAAATATACAATCCAAATATACTAACTTTTAAAAGAAATCGTGTTATACAATTTTATAGAAAAAATTGCAATTTGTATTAAGCACGTAACATTCGCATTAAGAATTATCAATAAGAAGTTAGTGAATATTACGCATCATATTTGAAATAAATACGAGAAAAAGGTATAGCTTAATTTTACAACCCGCATTTAAAGATAAAAAACGATTTTGTGCTACAAATTTAACTAGTAAATTCACAATGTTGAAATAGCATATCTGTGGTTAATAAATTCGGATTATATGCGATTACAAAATCTTCGAACCATTCACTCGATTACAGATCGTTCATTGAAATAAATTAGCAGCCAAATCCTTGCGAAATCCGTCCGGTCAAAACACGAGGCGTTCGGCCTATCAAAACACAAGTAGGATATCTTCAACCACTAGTCCTAGGCTTATAAGCCAGAGAGATTGATCGAATTATTCAAATTATCAACTCTAAAACAAAGACTTAAGGTTATAAATCGAATGTAGTAAATATTTCGCAGAATTTCACCGTGTGCGAAATATATTCAATAGCTTGTTAATACAATATCATTTGTTTTAGCTGTGGAAATACACTTTAAGAGATTACTGACGGGTGCAGTTTGGACGTTGGCCAGTGGAAACATCACATTATGTGGTTTAATTGTATCGTAATACTCTTGTTTTCATTTAGCATCAGGTAATGTGCATTTATACTCATCAAGCTATTTTAAAATCTGAATTAATTCAAGCTGTAAGCATTTCGTAGCACTATTTTTACTATTTATGTTTCGTGCGATAGCAACTCCGTCGTATTCCTTACATCTCTTTTATATTTTTTCTAAAACAATACTTCTCGCTACGCGTACGTTTGTAAAATAAAAGCTTAATAAAAAAAACAAAACAAAGTGGTAGGAAGTTGTAGGAAGTAGAAGGCGATTCCTGTAAAAGCTTCGATTAAATTCCAACGAGAGTACAGACGCCGTGATGGAAACAACGTGAAGCGTGCTAAACTGTTTGCACACGGGGCAGGCGACACGCGCCACTAAAAGCGTAGCAAAAACCTCGTAGTCTCGTAGCCCTGGTAGCCTCCAGTAGCCGCTACGCTAAATAAATAATGCTACGTGACTAAAGCCCGTCGTCGGACAACGGATGGACAGATTTTAGGGTGCAAATAGTTGTTCTAAATGAATTTACATCCAATATACCACTACTAATATAAAAATAATTCGGAAAGATTACCTTTTTAATAACTACCTGTCTAAAACACCAACTATTAATCAAATTGTATCTATAAATTAGTTACTTTACAGTTATAAAAAAAAATTGATTACGAGCAAAACGCATTGACATTATAGTACAAAATCCCAATTCTATTTAATACATAATACAGGTCTTAAATACTGTTATGTCGTCTACATTCTAGAAGCTTATTCCTTTACATTGTAAGACAACTGTCTGAGAACGCTCGAGTTATATTTAACAACGATATTAAATCCGTTCATTTGTCAAATTATTGAATACCATTTTGTTCGATTATTATCAACAGTTATATTGAAGTAAAAATGGATGTAATTGTTTTAGGCATCCAAGCAATTTTAATCCGAATTTACGAAAATACGAATAAAATGATTTATCTATGTTATTATATACTAGCTTTCGCTCGCGACTCCGTCCGCGTGGTATTTAAAAAAAACAAAAATCAATAGTCTATGTGTTCTTCCAGACTATCTTCTACATCTTTACCAAATTTCATCGAAATCCGTTCAGCCGTTTAGGCTACAAACTCTAACAAACATCCATCTATCCATCCATCCATCTAAACTTTCGCATTTAAAATATTAGTATGAAGTATGATAAAATGAATTATCTTATTTACATTGGCTATATTTGTTAATCCGAAATAAATGGAAACAATTTTTAAACTATTAAAAATCTTGAAACATATTTAAACTCTTACAGCCTTACAAATAAACGCAGTATAAAGCTAAACTTAATAAACTGAATATAAAGCAAATATTAATACAAATTATTTGTAAGGCTGTAGCAATACAAAAAAATAAGATACGAAAAAAATATTCAAACTATCGTCTTATCTATTAATCATCAGATTCAATCCTTTTAAATACTCATCAATACAGTTGACAGTAAAAATTCTAACCTCGAAATATTCTTGTAAGAATAACAAACATGTCGTCTATGAGTCTATGAAAACAAACTTTGTGGACGCGTGGCTAATTTCACGTCGTGCAGTTGGATATGCGATACGGAATGAAATGTGTCAAGAGTTGTTTCACGGACGATTGGCGGCGATCGCTCCCCGTTTCTTTAGAAAACGATTATAATAAACCCTCATCGGGATAAACTTCTTAATAGATTCACGTGTTAAATACGTTTTATTTTTCGTTGTTTTATGAATTGTATGTTTTCACACAATTTTGTCGGTATTTGCATAGGTTCTTAAATGTTTTAAATGAATTTATTTTCAACTAGCTTTGGCCCGCGACTCCGTCTGCGTGGAAAAGAAACAAAAGGAAGTAGCCTATGTGTTCTTCCAGACTACATTCTACATCTATGCCATATTTCACCCAGATCCACCATCCACCTATCCATCCATCCAGCTAAACTTTCATATTTATAATATTAGTAAAAAGTAAAATTACAACTCGCCCTTATCCCTTATGGAGGGTCTGCAAAGTATGTGCTGCTCTTCCATACATCTCTATTAGCCGTCATATCTGAATCCACTGCCTTCTTAACATATCCTCTTTCACACAATCCATCCATACTTTCTTCAGTCTTCCTCTTCCTTTCTAGCCATCCACATTAATTCTTAACACTTTCTGGTGCATGTCCCCATCGTCTCGTCGCATAACACGTCCATACCACGCTAACCTTTTGATTCTCAATTTCTCCGCCACTGGGGCTAGTAAAATTACACGAGGTATAACGTGTTTATTATAATACCAAAATTATACACACCTTCTGTTATATAGGCAATTGACTATCAAGTAACACAATAGTAAATTTGTACATTAATTTAACCCCAAAAGTTGTTTTTTGTCAAAAGATAAACAAACTAAAATAAGACATGCTTTATATTTATAACTAAACGCGGAATATCCTATATGAAATTACAATTCGCGCGAGGAGTAAAGAAAACATTCAGATTAACATTTCATATTTTAAGAGCCAATAAGCAGGCAATGACCCTAATGAGTGGGCAACAAAAATAATGTCGGGCGATTTATTAGTGCGCAAGCGCACAGATTTATCGTATGGCGGGCGCGGGCGCAGGAACACTCGCTAATCCCTTATAATTAGGGTTGTCGATTTTTCTACAGGACAAGAAGTTAAAAATACATTGTAAACAGAATTAGGCAGCAATCTTAACTTTAGCTTATTTAGAAATTGAGTTATTTATTATGTGTATGTTAACAAAAAGTTTTATATCTGCGATTGAAATTTATTTAAAGAAAAATGACATAAATACAATTATAGTTGGATCTCCAAGTTTAAATGCACCGAGACAATTGGCTTAAAATAAGCGACTAAATTCTGTAAATTAAAGTTATCACGTAATTTGAATAAATAATTGGCATTAAAATAACGATAGCGACAGCCCTATCATACGAAAGACAACGTTATTAAGAACACACGGGGCGAATTCAGTGCCGTTTGTACGCGTCGGAATTAATGTCTAACACTTGAAGCGCCTCTCGTGGCGAGACGAAACTAAAGTATCGATTTAATTATCGATTACAAATAAAAGACTACGAGTAGTACAAATTAAATATAAAATGGACTCTTATGTTATGAAAAGACATACGAAATATTGGAGTATACTTAACTGACAATAAAATAACTGACATTAAGAAATCGGCAGATTTGAAAATGTTGTGAATAATCAAAAGCTTTATTAATGTCATAAAATTCTCATTAGGAACAGATTTACAAGTTAATCTATTCAATATAGTACAACAGTAGTCCGCTACGCATAATAAAGAAGAATAAAAAAGTATTATCAAAACAATGCCAACATTTTTCTAGTTCTTAAAACAGTAACGGCATTAACCTATCCCAAGAAACGATTCAGTTAACACGTATCAAAGATTATCCCGGACAATCGACATACCGAAGAAACCGAGAGACATCCGAGGTATGCCGCACACTGTAAATAGTTGCAGGGCTCCAGACCGCAGAATCTAACGCGGGCCTTCGGAAACTATTGACAGTGAGTATGGATACGATCACCCTTAAGCCGGGGATTATGAAGAGACCGAAATAGACGGTTGAAATCCTCGCGGATTAAGGGATCCCGTGTTCCGTCCGACGGCGCGGCACAAAAATATACGAAGACGCGCGCCGGATGCGTCGATCTGGTGCAACGTACAAGACATGATATTGTAAACCACTTCGAAGAAGTTTTATACCCGCTATAGGTTGACAATTACAATAATTGCACAGTTATATAATAACGCCCATAGTAAGGTATTTGAAATTCTAAATACAATAACTACACCATATTACAAAGACATCGCAGATTTTTTTTCCAAATACTTTTGTTTTAGAATTTGAACAGAAAGAAAATATTGTTATTTATTTAATTTAACTAACGATATTTTTAAAAAACATTTATCTTTTTGGATCACAATTTTCTACATTTGACGCCATTAACCATAGAATCTTTACAAAAATAACATAGGTATATTGAATGCATTTGTAGTAATGTAGTATTCCTGCATAGTTTAATAAGCCACATCCTCTACGCTCTAGTTAATTATCGATCCTTTATCAAGCAATAATTACTTATCAGTTTCCGAATGACAAGGCTCGCGATAATGAACCTGTCACTAAAACTTCTATATTGTGCACGTGATAAGCTCTGTAGGAAATTATGTATAGGTATTTGAAATTGTTTTTATGATTGGGTATTTCAGTAGCAATGACAGATTATTTTTCGGGATTTCCCCTAAAACAATCTGCAAGTCAACGAAAGAAATTGTTAATCAGAATTTTAAGTTATACAATGTCGCTTTTTCGATTCCATCATAATTGAATTTAAGTCTTAAAATAATCAGCTAGCAGTCAATGCATTAGAATGCAAAAACAAATGCGATAAAAGTAAGTATACATCTTGTAATTGTAATAAAAGTTACAAATATTTGTTACTTACTCTAACTCTCGCTTCCGTAAGGTTCGTCCACATGGCGATCTCCTCCCGCGTCGACATGTCAGGGTATCGATTCCTCGCAAACGTCGCCTCCAACTCTTGTAACTGTTGGCTGGTGAAATGCGTCCTTTGCCGTCGTTGTCGCTTGTTCTTCTTGTCACCTTTGTCGTCCATCGACGGTTCGTCCGGCCCAACGCCGGGCGTCGTAGATTCGGTCTTTATCGTTGGCTCTGATGTTAACGGTCGATTGCCTGATAAATTTTAAAATGGATTAATATCATTTTATAACATGAAGTCTTCGATGCTAGTCTAAGCTGGGTTTTATGATTACGTGTAATTGTGACGTAACGTTTTTAAGGTAGGTCAGAGTTTCAAATCAGAATGTTTTAAAATCTTGGAGTTACAAAATGTGCCAAGATGGATGCTTTAGTATGTACTAGTTACGTAAGCTTAGTTAACCCAAGTCAAAACGAATGAGGTTATTAGGAATTTGTGCACTGATAGACAATTATATATTGTCTTGTGATGTCACAGATGATTCGTGATGTTACAACAGTAATAATAGCTTACCAGCTGATTTAAATTTCGAATAAACAGCGGCAATTAAACAAAAATAAAATGACCATAAATTGTAGAGCGTCTCACAAAACTTGGAGTACAGATAAAAAATATTGAATCATGGCGGCCGGTAGCGCAAGCTAATACGCGGGATTAGGGCGCAGGCGCACCTAATACTTTTACGACACCGCTGTAAATAAGTTATTCTCGATGAGCGGCGCAACACTATAACATTATTTATGTCACAGATAATAAATTCTTTTTTTGTGACGTCTATTTTTGTGTAATAGTGTGATAAAACGGTTGATTAGTCTATCATTTAGCAAGAAATTCTTTTTGTTAACATTCAATAATTCACGATTTTATAATCTGTTGTAACATCAAGAAATACGTTTATTTCTTGTCACCTATGACCTAAGAGTCGAATTAAATTGTTAACGATTAACAATACTGTGGATTCTTGGCTTGCAAATTTCATGTATAAAATGACGGCGACATATCTAATAAGATTATAATCACGTTGAAAACCTTTGACTAGTTAAATGCCAATGCGTTTAATAGTGCCATTATGCACATAACTAATGCATTTGTTTCATTATGTACTTCAGAGATTTTTAGCCATACCGCAACAACCATTCGTAAATGTTAAGAAGCGGCTAGTTATCAAGCGTCGTATATTGGGATCAAAAATCCATCTCAATGGTGGTAATTTTGTTTTGTAGAATTATAATATTTTATGGATTAAACTACAAACTTCTAGAATGATTATAATTTCTACCAAAATAACAACACGTACACTGATATGTCACCGGGTGATCTCAAATACCGCCCGTTTGTAATTTGACTAGACAATGTTGCTAACATGTATATAGAACTAATTGATTTACAAAACAACCAAAACTATTTATTCTCTTTTTTATAGTTTATTGCTTGATAAAGATAGAAGTAGTTTTCTAAAGGGTTCATAGATACGAAAATTTTGACTCATATAAAATAGTTGATAATATTTTTGTTCAACAGATTTCAACCTAAAACCTTTAATACCTTGATAATCAAAGTTAGCAATCACGACAAAGGGATCACAATAGTAGCTGAAAGTTAAATCCGTATTATTAAATAAAGTTAAATATGTTCATAGGTATTTTGTTGATAAAAACATTATCATCGATTTGTAGTTTGTGCGCGGCTTATGTATTACATTAAGGATTACTGTTAACACTTTTATTGCTGGTATTGATAAATAATTAAGATATTGATTTAATACATTTTTTTACATACTTTAGTCGTGTATTGAATTAACCTTGAATAGGAGTGATAAATGAAAAATATTTTTATGGACTTATATCGTTTTATTTTGATATAGTGTTTTCAGTCAAGTGCACACAGTTTCTATTCAGTTAGGCAATTGTTTTTTGTTTGTCCTAAGTTTAATTCGAAATTTAAAAATATTTCTGTCATACACTAACGTCCTAATGATAGAGATAGCTAGAGTATTACCCAAGCAAAAAAACGATAATACGAACCAGTCACACGGTAACAGTAATATTCGGTCATGTAAGGATTAGTGTATCACCACATTGGACTATATTAAAACCATCAATCTGTACCACGGGCCCAGTCATCGGCGTGTAATGAAGAGGGCAGGATTAAGGGGCGAGAGTGCGGGGAGGGATCGCTGGGCCGCTACCGCGGGCATTCTCTGCCGATACCGCGATAAAATCCGATAGCAGCTATCGATGATAAGCTTTGTGCCTTCGCCGCCCCATCCATCAAGCAGCAACCTTTGCGTTCGGCCGACGCGACAAACTTGTAGGTAAATAGCGCAGTTAACATGTGTTACGATATCGATACAAGCCACTTCAATACTCTACACTCTTGATAATGCCGCTACAACGTTTCCTTTAATGTCGCTAGTTATGTAAGTTATAATGATTCTTATCATCGTGTACGGATCGTAGACACGTTGGTGCTGCAACGCATTTAAATTATCTTTTAACTGTAATGAAGTGTTACACTTAGAAATGACTATTGATTTTGTTAGATACAGAACTAGGTTTTCTTATAAATGTAATTTATAGTATGGGAATGGGAGTTCCTGCATCAAGGATTTGTTGTAATGGCCACCCAAAATTTTATTTGGTACGGTCCTTGCACATTGTTTGGAAAAATGTTATTTATTTTGAAAGTGAGTATATCACTAATATAATAAATGCGAAAATTAAATAGATGGATGGATGTTTGTTAGAGTTTGTAGCCTAAACGCCTCGACGGATTTCGATGAAATTTGGTATAGATGTAGAGGATAGTCTGGAAGGACACATACGCTATTCTCATTTATGTTTTTTTAAACCACGCGAACGGAGTCGCGGGTGAAAGCTAGTACATATATAAAAGTTAAATTTATGTTGATTTAGAGAAGTTATGTTATAAAAAGAAGCCGTTTGAATCCATTTTCCGAACGAATAGTGATAATAAAGCATAAAAAGCGCTCGAGTCCGCAGTCGGCACACATCGCTGGAGCGCTGTTTGTGAAAGCATTAGATCAACAAGCGGGCTATTTGCTATCAGATTCACCGACGGTTTACTCAGTTTGCGTTCAGCTTTAAGTTTGTCACTCTGTGTGGTCCCTCTTACCAATTCTTATGAAATTTGCATCTTTTATCGTAGGTACAATTTATAGAATACTAGCTTTCGCCCGCGACTCCGTTCGCGTGAAATTAAAAAGAAAAACAAAAGTGAGGAGCCTATGTGGTCTTCCAGACTATTTTTTACACCTATACCAAATTTTATCGAAATCCATTCAGCAGTTTAGGCTACAAACTCTAACAAACATTTATCCATCCATCTAAACTTTAGCAAATATAATATTAGTAAGCAGTAACAAGTAAGATAAGATTTTATGTAGTCAGGATTTAGGATTATAAATGGACGTAAACCAAGAAATTGACGAAAACATTATACAAAACACCGATGCATCATATCAAGAGATTCGTTTCTTTAAAGACATAACATAAAACGCATATGACAATATAAATGTACTAAATTGGTTGATATTCTTATCTCTCATATCTACAAGAAACGTCCTTATTCGCTATAAGGTTTGCTTGCTAGTCGCTGCTAAATTGAAATAGCGACATTCTCAGATTCTCTTACCAGGGCCTGAAGTGTGAAAACGTATGGATGTAACTAATAAAAATAAGAATGTTTATAAAATAGTTTATTGACTACCTAGCTTCTGTCCGCGTGGAATTAAAAAACAAAAGTAAGTAGCCTATGTGTTCTTCCAGACCGTGCTCTACATCTATGCCAAAAGTCATCGAGCGTTCAGCAGATAAGGCTACTAACTACAGACATCCATCAAACCATCCGAACTTTAGTATGATAACAAAAAGGACTACTTACTGTCATCTGTGTGTTTGCGGTCCCTGCGCGGACGCGGTGGTGCGTACAGTGAAGACTGATCCACACCCGAACCACCTGACGCAAGCGAGGAATGACCACTGTCCCGGAACTCGCCCGTCTCCGCCCATACTGCAACAAAATTAATAAATCAATAATACTGAATATTTTATAACTTGAAATAGCTGGGATGTAACGCAGGACAGACTGGAAAAACAAACCACTGGTTAGAAATAGTAAACAAAATTTAAATGAACAAAATGCAAGAGATAAATTAGACGTAACACGAAACGAAGTACATTCCACGACGGAAGTGCATCATGAAAATATTAAATCAGTACCATATAAGGTCGGCCATATTTCTCAATTTAATTAGCGAGAAAATATCCTCGGTATTTATTACAGAATAATCCACAAAGATATTATTAAGGCCACTCTGACACTTACTTTCTGTAACGTGACGACTGTGTACAGCCAGCAGAGGACGAACGTTTTAAAGGAAGCGTAAATTCAATTAAAGTTGCTAATAGCAGTATAATTTAACAAGTAAATCTTGACAAAGTAATGTGCTCGCTGAGCAACGATGACGCCCCGTCGCTTACGCGGTAATTAAGTGTCCCCGAACACTTGTTAACAAATTAGTCACCGGAGACGCGCGGTGTGCGCTTGCCCTTATTTATAGCCGCCACATGAGGCGCGAATACTAATCGACATGTATTCCCAATTAAATATACTTTATTACTGAAATTTGTTATTGAACCCGACTTACAAAACGGCTTAATGAGTGTATCTTTGATAGATATTCCAAAAGGCTTCGGAAGTTGTAAGAAGTTTAGTAGGCAAGAAATGTTACTAGTAAACAATTAGTATGCATGTAAATTAGTCCATTTCATATAATCTTAAAGAACTTTTGAAAAATGCTGTTATAACATGACGTCCCTTTTACATTGAAACGACTCTAGCGTGGAGGTTAGAATACGAATACGTTGTTAGAAAATAATACAATCGTTTTCTATCTACATATTTCAATGCCAACATAAATTGAGACGTATTTTGGAATTCCTGATACCACAATGGATTTCAGAATTAAATTGTTCTATAGTCGTATCTTTGAATGACTTTTTAAATGTTTTATTGGTTGTTGATAGTATGTTGCGATCTCTGACGGCCAATAATCCCGTTGTTTTGGAAAAAGTCACGCACAACGACAATTGACACTGACAATTCTACAGATAATTACAAATTAAAAAAGACTGGGAGAAAAAATGGCGGAAGCGAAATTCTATTTACTTTTAATTTATGTCCTGTTTTAACAAAGCATTTTTCTTTGTAACCTTTGGCTTACCAATGTTTGATGATTTTATTTTTTTACCTAAATTACAAAGTACTTGTTAATCGAAATATTAGCAGTATAATTTTATTTTACGTACCTAACATTAAGAAATCAATAATAAGTGGTAATGTAAAAATGGATGTTTCGAAAATGTCGTTTACTTAAATAACACGAAAAATATTCTTAGTTTAAAATACAAAAATATAACATTAGTTATTCAGCACGCAAAACGTAAATGTAGTGTTTTAACAACATCATAAAGCAAACATACTTATCGCGGAGGACGTAGATAGAACTAGCAAGAAGTTATCGTTAAAAATGAATATAGACTAATCAGAAACATAAAATCGTAGCTATATTGCAAAATATAGCTAATTTCTTTGCGCACATTAGATAGTGATGTAAAAAAGAAGTCGATTGAAGTGCGCCTAGGGCCGGATTTTTATATTCTACTAACTTTCGCCCGCGACTCAGTCTGCGTGGAATTAAAAAAAGAAACCTATGTGCTCTTCCTGTCTATCCTCTACATCTATACCAAATTTTATGGAGATCCGTTCAGCAGTTAATCTATAAACTCTAACAAACATATATTCATCTTAACTTTCGCATATATAATATTAGTAAGATGTGCGGTAATACTTGTCTAACATAGGTTGAACATTTCAATAGCATTCTTTTAACTTTCAGTAATCCAATTAACACATTGAAATATGCAATGCGAATTATAGAATAAAACGTTAGTATTGTATAAGCAGCCATATGTGTCAGGGCTTTATCTCATCAGAAGAGCAAACGTCGGCTCGGGACGTACAAACGTAACGCAAACGACACACGTTCAAATACATTTAATGTTTGCTGGTTTGATAACAGGCGATAAGCGCACGCTCATTGTTTTATTGGGGGGCTGTAAAGCGCCATCTCAGCTGAACTTTACAGCGGACACTCGCACATAAAAGTGCTAACGGCACCGCACTGATTGGTATTGTCGTAAAGTTTCATTTTATTGTTTGTTGTGACGAGTTAATATATCGATGCACATATTGAAAGATTGATAACCAAGAAACTGACATTTAAAGTTGCCAATATCCGGTATGTTTAGTAAAGTAACGTTACGTCTACTAAGACAGAAATATCTGTCACTTTATGCAGGGTTCAAATCACAAATTCAGTATTCAATGACAAAATTTCAGATATTACTTTTGTGTATAAAAATCCGTAAGTTAGAACATTTTCGATTATCATAATCTACAGTAACTTTATAAAAAAAAGTTTGTGTACCTTTATTATTAAAATTTATTATTAAACACATTACATCGCGACTGTACAGCTGTCACAGCAATCGTATCAACGTCATTACGTGACGGTTCATAACTTTTATAACACGACACTAAACTGTTTTATTTTTATAACAACACACATCGTCGATGTAAAAACAACAATCGATTACAATATATTTTCTTATTAATGGTTTCAACATGCGTAAGTTTAAATATAACTTTACAAACAATTCACAAATGACACGAATGATGATATGTCCAAAAACAATTTTCTTTTAATAAAGCAAGAGGCATAAGTGGTACAAATTCCGAGCAAGCAACAACTACTTCTTAAATTTTAGAGTACTTCTGAATTTCGTTTTAGACGTGTATACAATTCTAATAAGTCTTGTTCGATTTCTTATGTATAATCAGAAAGTAGATAAGCAAACAATTAAGTTACTTAGTGTATTAAGTGACACAGTAATCGAAAATTTCGGATGAAATCTAAAGAATGCAGTCAACAGAAGTCTGCAGTAAGCGTAGGCGTGAAGCTGTAAATAACCGAGGTTAAAAAATTTTGTATGTAGAACATAAACAGAAAATATTGTATTTACATATGCGACAGATAGTCGCGTCGGTGTAAACAGTGATAAGTCCTTACAATTTACAACCGAGACCCTGGCACCGTGTTAGGACTTTCATTTTTAAAAAGCTTTAACAGTACACGAAAGAACTTGGATTGGATATTAATTCCAAATTTCAGTTAGTAAAAATAATGAGCACTGGCTGTCATCATTATGTATGTAATCGAATTACATTTGGATTTTTTAAATTGTTAGTTAGATATTAAAGACTAGGAGTTTCTCGCAACTTCGTCCACGTGAAATTGAAAAATAATTAGCCTATGGTATTCACAGATAAATTACCTTTCTAATGGTGAGAGTATTTTTGATTTTGTCCCTATAGTTTTTGAGTTATTTCAATACATACGTGAATTTTTAAAAAAATACGAATGTCTCCTTTTTATAACATTTTTAGTATACTCGGAGACGTATGAAATTATGAAGGACATGTATACATTCTCGTGAAAAATAAACCAACAATCTTAAACAAATAAATTCTATTTATGATCCCGGATAAAAATTGAAATTATGTTTTCATTGAAATCAAAATTTAATATCTAGAATTCTTCATACAAATATTATTTTATAACATAATTTTCTTGACGTAAGATTTACTTTATAGTAAGAAATTCCTGTTAGCCATACCACCCACAGTTATCTTACAAAAGTAATCCAAGAGCAAATAAATCGTAACTTCTGAAGATTTGTAAGTATTATAAAAATAAACTCTTGTCTTACATCCAACGTGAACGGTCTATAAAATATGTTTAAGATACGATAATGACTTTTAAAGGGAATTTCAGCCTAACATTGTAACAAATTCTATCGTCAATTTGTTTAATTTAAATCTAAGCTAATCGAATAAAATCAAAATTATAATTCCCTTACGGTTACATCCGCATGACATTATATGAAAACTTCATTTTATTTTATACATTTGTAAAATTCTCAATTGCAAATGTCAAAATTACCGTTACCATAATGATCTTGCTTCCTTAATGTTGGCAGCTTGTAGTTTATGAACCCTTTTCCACATGAAGGTTTTTTCCAATTTATTTACCTCCTAAGTTTAATAACGTGAAAATATATAGGCTAAAGAATGTCGTAAATGTAGGGCTTTTTATTAAAGAAATAACTATTAAGAAAATTGCTGTTATTGCTGACATCCTACATCACGAAGAAGTGTGTGTTTTCGCTTCATTATATTAGAATAGATTTATAATAAATGCATGTTGCAAAACAAATGCATGTTGATATAAGATTCTACGAAAACCAATTCGCATTCATGCGTTTCAATAACAAAACAATGTTAAAGATAACTTCTTTCTCTTTTACAACTAATCAGACCTCCCAAAATAACAAAATACTTCTTGACCTGTTAAAAGTCCACACAATGAAATGTGATCCTTAATCTTAGACAGGACCACCTCGGACTACGCGCCTGTTTAATAACATAATCCTGATAACGGAAGCATGTCCAAGAGCTCGTTTCCGGCTACAGAATGTTTGCTGACGCGCTATCTGAACAATGTTAGTGTCTATTCAGATGAGGTGCATCCGGAGTGGACCGCTCTAATCCAAACGCGGTGATGGCGTGGATTAAAAATTGTCACCGCTTATAACAGACAGGTTATTAATATTTTGATGTTACAGCGCATTTATTAGTAACATATATTAGTAAATAAAATTATAATCATACTATACTAATATTATAAATGCGAAAGTTTAGATGGATAGATGGATGGATGGATGTTTGTTAGAGTTTGTAGCCTAAACGGCTGAACGGATTTCGATGAAATTTGGTATAGATGTAGAAGACAGTCTGGAAGAACACATAGGCTATTCACTTTTGTTTTTTTTAATACCAGCGAACGGAGTCGCTAGCGAAAGCTAGTTGTAAAATATTTATGCCAAATA